ATAAATGATACCTGATTTCAGCATACCTTACAGCCACGACAATTTGTGGCTAAAAAGGATGCTGGATTTCGGCAAACCTTATACTGTAGCCACGGCGGTTTGTGGCTATAAATGATACCTGATTTCAGCATACCTTACAGCCACGACAGTTTGTGGCTAAAAAGGATGCCGGATTTCGGCAAACCTTATACTGTAGCCACGGCGGTTTGTGGCTATCATTATAAATGATACCTGATTTCAGCATACCTTGTAGCCACGACAGTTTGTGGCTATAAAGGATGCCGGATTTCGGCAAACCTTATACTGTAGCCACGGCGGTTTGTGGCTATAAATGATACCTGATTTCAGCATACCTTATACTGTAGCCACGGCGGTTTGTGGCTATAATTACAAATGATACCTGATTTCAGCATACCTTATACTGTAGCCACGGCGGTTTGTGGCTATAATTATAAATGATACCTGATTTCAGCATACCTTATAGCCACGACAGTTTGTGGCTATAATTACAAATGATACCTGATTTCAGCATACCTTATACTGTAGCCACGGCGGTTTGTGGCTATAATTATAAATGATACCTGATTTCAGCATACCTTATAGCCACGACAGTTTGTGGCTATAATTACAAATGATACCTGATTTCAGCATACCTTATACTGTAGCCACGGCGGTTTGTGGCTATAATTATAAATGATACCTGATTTCAGCATACCTTATAGCCACGACAGTTTGTGGCTATAATTACAAATGATACCTGATTTCAGCATACCTTATACTGTAGCCACGGCGGTTTGTGGCTATAATTATAAATGATACCTGATTTCAGCATACCTTATAGCCACGACAGTTTGTGGCTATAATTACAAATGATACCTGATTTCAGCATACCTTATACTGTAGCCACGGCGGTTTGTGGCTATAATTATAAATGATACCTGATTTCAGCATACCTTATAGCCACGACAGTTTGTGGCTATAATTACAAATGATACCTGATTTCAGCATACCTTATACTGTAGCCACGGCGGTTTGTGGCTATAATTATAAATGATACCTGATTTCAGCATACCTTATAGCCACGACAGTTTGTGGCTATAAAGGATGCCGGATTTCGGCAAACCTTATACTATAGCCACGGCGGTTTGTGGCTATAAATGATACCTGATTTCGGCAAACCTAATAGCCACGACAGTTTGTGGCTATAAAGGATGCCAGATTTCGGCAAACCTTATACTGTAGCCACGGCGGTTTGTGGCTATAAAATGGAGTTTGTTTCCTACTTTAATTCAGTTATGTTTTTACTTATAAGCGGATTTTGATGGGCTGGAGTCAGACGTAGTCCTCCTCCCAAAAAAGGTCTGCACATCCCCAAGCACCAGTGCACACCAAGATAATTATAGCTACCATGGTCATAAAAGTAGCGTTTTCCGGTATGTATATGGGTTTTCCAAGGGTGCACCTACTAAAAACAACTACATATATCTAGATTCCCTCACTACTTCAGAATGAAACACATTATGGAAGAAGTAGATAAAAAGCGAAACATACCATCAAGTACCAACTTTGCTCCGATTCCAGCAGGGAATCCAACCAATCTTGACATGGCTGAGTACTTTGAATCACCGTAAGCGATTAAACTGATGCGTCGTTTTTCCTGAATAACGATATAAATATAACAGTTTAATTCCGACCACTACGGCCATTGCTACTTCCTTTAAAGGCACAGTTCAGCCTTTTGAACGATGGTTTTTAAGGCGCATTTCAGCTCTTTTAATTGAAAAAACTAACTAGGAAAATCAATTAAGCATAATTCAAGATCACCAAACTCAATGTTTTTAACATTTTAAAACATTTTTATTGTTAAAAACATCGAGTTTACGGATTTTGAATTATACTTAATTGATTTTCCTAGTTAGTTTTTTCAATTAAAAGAGCTGAAATGCGCCTTAAAAACCATCGTTCAAAAGGCTGAACTGTGCCTTTAACAACCACAATTTCAATACTTATTTATTTATTTATTATGCTTTGCCAATTTCACACAATCATATCTACACAAATACAAACACAAGAATATACAAACTATCAATCAATCAACGGCAGGGTATATGCTATACAGCTTTACGCCAGTTACAGCAGCCCTTACAGAACGAACATGACATATTCTACATTAGATCTTTAGTAATATAAAAAACCAGTTTGCACCTAGGAAAACCCTCCGCAGGATAGTAACGGAAGGAAAGTTACATAGTGCTAAAGTCGTTAGTTCCAACGCCGTCCGCTTCTGCGGAAAATTTTCCTGAGTGGAAATTAGCCGACAATGAAGCTTAACAAGACCAACACAGGGACACACATTAGAATTAATAACATAGACGGATTTTCATATTTTTTACTGGGGTGGTGCCAGAAATTTTAGGGGGGTGAGCCGTGAGCAGGTGACTGAAGCAACACAAAGTGTCACCAAACCCCATGCAGTAAGGTCTATATTCTAGGGGTGGAGCACTAGAGCCACGAGGGGGAGTCTAGAGAGCAGAAAACAAAGTATCCCAGGAAAAATTGAAAAATTGAAAAAAATCATGATTTCTAGCTTCGAAAAAAAGTTTTTTGAAGAGTGTCATATCAATGGATTTGGCATGTCCGATTGTCTGTTGAGACTTGAGAGAGTTAAAGTTATAAATGAACCTGTAAAAGTGTTAACCCAATAGGCCAATACACAATATGCTTTTACCTTTATAAAGTCATTAACATTGTACGTGTCGTTTGAATCCGAGTATAATTTATAATGCAACTCTGATGTAAATAATATTTGGGGCGTAAAGATTAAATCTAGGCAAGTCTATTTCCTAAAAGAATTAAAAACTAAAAATAATGTTCGTAAAAATTCCAAACGTTCCTTGCAAGCAAGGTATTTGCATGACAAGGCACTACACAAACTCTATTCAGGGGAGATAATAGAGTTTCAAAACTTTACAATTGCTCCAATAAACCAGTGAATGCAAGCGAAGAGCGATTAGTTTCACAGTGTTGCACTGTCTTTTTCTATTCGAGTGTACTCCTACGTTTATTTTGTACCATCAACACTCTGCACGTTGGAGTGGACTATTTAATTATTTTTTATTATGCCGAATATTGGGGGGGGGGGGTTGAAATTTTTTTTTGAGGGGTGGCCTTTTTTTTTGAGGGGGTTATAGCTAATATTGGGGGGGGGGGGTAGCACCTACCCCCCCACAAAATCCGTCTATGATTAATAACAACACGAACTTGAACAAGACAAATTACGGGACTTGTTACAAGACAAAATACAATCCTAACCTTCCTATTATCTGGCCATTCTATTCCAACTTCGTGTCGCAATAATACAAGATCTCGTTCTCCACTTCCTAAAAAAAATAAAATTCCAAATTCAATTTTTAACCAATTTTTTCTCCCTCTAAAAGTAAAATTTGTTGGTATCAAAGGGTCGTTGACAAAAGGGAGTTTGAGATGCCGACAGCAAACAACGCGTACGGAATACGGTTGAAAGCTTCATGTTTTCACATTGCTTTAACTGAGGCAGACAAAATGGTCAGCGCTCTTTTTTATATAGAGCAACCAAATTATGGAATGATTTAGACAATAACATTAAAGAGTGCTGGAACAACTCAAAATAATTTTATATTTTAGAATTTTACCAATAATTGGTTTATTATACCCATAATAAACGGTAATTCGTGGTCAAGATCTTAAGGTTACTTCACACGATGAACGTGCGTTTTAGTCTGTTGGACATTGCTCAACGAATTTTAGGTGTAACTTTACCAAATTTTCAGTGAAGAAAGCCAGGAAAATGCTGATTTCGAAAATTTTCATTGCTCTGTTTAAACATTTTCAGTATTGGCTGACTGAGTAAATATGTAGGTACCTTCATAAAAAAATAAAAATATGTTTATAGTTTACCTCAACGGTTGTCTAGATATCGCAATTCAAATCTTCATAGGCATGGTAAAAAAAATGTGTGCGGAAAATTTCTCTTCTTTAGTGGTTTTTCTGATATGCCCTGATTCTTGGATTTGTCACTGATAATTCACGAAGTTGTCAAAGAAAACGTCCTATCAGAAAAACCATTGAAGAAGAGAAATTTTCCGCACACTTTTTTTTACCGTACCTATGAAGATTCAAATCGATATATGTAGACAAACGTTGAGGTAAACTATAAATATATTTTTATTTTTTTATGGGATACTTATGTATTTCTTTAGTCAGCCAATACTGGACATGTTTAAACAGAACACCCATCAAATGAAGATTTTCGAAATCAGCATTTTATTGGCTTTCTTCGCTAAAAATTTGGTAAATATACACCTAAAATTCGTTGCGCCATGTTCAATAGACTAAAACGCACGTTCATCATGTGAAGTAACCTTAAACTCCCTAAATTTCACATGCAAACATCACATGAAGGAAGGACGTACCAAAAGCCAGTTTCTCGTTTAGGTGATGACTCAGTGTATCTAGAGGTGAAGACTTTGCCACGGCAATCTCATTTGAAAGTAAACCAAGTCTACAATTAACAGGAAGAGCAAACCATATTAATTACCATAAGCACGAGGGGGGGGGGGCATTTTGCCCCGGGCCCCAGCCCAAAAAGGGCCCCCAAAGCAACGAAGGGACTTTAAAATTTTTGATACAAGGTTGCTAAACTGAGAATATAACTCTGATAAATCATTAAAAAATCCTTTGAAGACATAACGTCTATTCCTTTCTCAACACATCAAAGATGCTTTAAAAAACAATTAGAAAAACATATGGATATGTAAAATCTAAACATCTAAAATTCTAGGAAGGCTAGAAGTTTAGCTTTTATGACATTCATATTTTTTAATAATTCTTCTTTTTTAAAGTATCTATGGTGTGTTAAGAGAGGAGTAGACGTTATGTCTTCAAAGGATTTTTTAAAGTTATCAAACTCTTTCCTTGCTTCGGTAAAACAAATTTGTGTAAAGAGAATATAAATCCTAGGTGCGTTAATGCCGTTAATGTATAATAAAGTTGGCCGAACGAATAATCTCTCCGTATATTAGGATTCGTTGAATAAAAATTGAATAAAATTCAAAGTACAGTTCCCATACCGTTTAATCGCAGAAAATCTTGCTTCATCTTCGCCGACGAGCTTAAAAACTCTGTTATAAAGTTCTGCTTTCGACGACGAACAGCCCAACATTGTACTCATATAATTCCTCTATAGAATGAAACAGTACTTTTAACAGTGATTTACAGGCCGTGTGATTTACAGGCCGTGTGATTTACAGATAGTCTATTTTATGATCTCAAGACCACAAATCACTTAAGGCGGATTTGGATCTGCAAACCAACATTATTCTTGTGTCATTCTTTCAACATTATTCCCAGTCGATTGTAGTGTTTGTATATGCAATTACGACTCGCATAGTTCCAGGTTACTGAATGAATACCTTTCAGAAACCTGTACTTTATACACGTAGTTCATTGTAAAGACTATAAGTACACCTTGAGTCTTAAGTCTGCACAAGTTCAAGTATACGCAGCAATATAACCATTTGATTATATATACCTGTCAAGCACGACTAAAAATCTTGGATTATCGCATACTTACCCAAGATACTGGTTGACCTGTAAGAGATTTTTCTTCAAGATCTAAGAGACCAAGGCTTTGTAAACCAATACAAACATTTGCGTACCCCTAAAAGAGGACAACTATATATTTTACTCAGAGTAGTTGAATCAATTTCAATTTAATAACATGCAGGGTTCTTCAGTCTCGGTCAAACGAGTATGACCGCGTTCGACCGCCAACTCTTATATTGACTCACATATACATTCTCATCAATTTTCATCAACTTTCAGCTGTTTATATTTTGATCAGGGTTAATGATCTTTCATGCAACTCTTGTTCTCGTTTGACCGGGACATGAGAGTTGAGAAAACTCTCATGCAAACTCTCGCTTCTTAACTCTCATTAACTCTCATGCCACTCTTGTTCTCGTTTGACCGGGACATAAGAGTTGAGAAAACTCTCATGCAAACTCTCGCTTCTCAACTCTCATCAACTCTCATGCAACTCTTGTTCTCGTTTGACCGGGGTATGAGAATTGAGAAAACTCTTATACAAACTCTCGCTTCTCAACTCTCATCAGCTCTCATGCAACTCTTGTTCTCGTTTGACCGGGGCACGAGAGTTGAGAAAACGTTCATGCAAACTCTCGCTTCTCAACTCTCATCAACTTTCATGCAAACTCTCGCTTCTCAACTTTCATTCTCGTTTGACTAAGGCTTTATACGGTATCCGAGTGAGCCAGGGAGCAATGTTGAAGCCAATCCTATACTTACACGGTATCTCAGAGAGCCACGGATCATAGTATGCAGATCAGGTAAGCCATAGATATCTTTATATATAGTAGAATCACGATTCGGATAACATTCCAGGTTAAAACCCGGTATGAAGTCAGTGGCGTTAACATGATGAAGAATTTGTCCAGCTGGGATCTCTTTCACCTAAAAAAGAATAAATGTTCCTTTAATAGGAAGAAATAGCTCAATGACTGACGGCGGACCGACTGACTAACTGATTTGCTGGCTGACCGAGCAGCCAATCGCCTGACTGACAGCCAAACCAACAAACATGGGTGGCACGGTTAGTACTATTTTCCATCCAGCAAACTGACATGACGTCATTTTCGGAAGATGGAAGAGGTGTTAAATGGCTATGTAACTAACCCAAACCCTACCCCTACTACTCGTAACCCCTAACCCTAACCTCAACCCTAACTAACTATAACCCTAATCTTAACAGAATTAATAAAAAAATCCCAAAAGAAACGACTTTAGAAAATCGATAGGGCGGTTAACTTGATAGTACTAACCGGGTGGAACTGTCAAAAATTCACAGAATTTTTTTATTCCTCACTGCGATCCCAGAGAAAAAAAATTTTTCCACCCTTTCCAACGAAACGTCGAAATTCTTTTTGTAATTTTCAGATAGCTATATCTTTTACAATCCTGACAGCCTCATTCAAGCAGAATCAACGTGCAACGTTATAAAGGGTTAAAAAGTCTTTGTTTTACCTCGCCATTTTCCAAATATTTAGCACCGTTTTGCGTTGTTGATAAAACACCTCGCGGACTCCAGCTGGAAGAAAAAGGAGTTCGCAGTGACCCGCTAGCCAGAGTGGCGGTGGCAGACGTAATTTAATACACATAAACCATCTAAAGGGAAACATCGTACCTGAATTTCATCCTTAACGGATTATCTGCAACCTCAGGGGCTGGCAGGCCTCCACAATACGACACGAATGACACAACCTGAAAAATGTGGATTTATTGCAATAATCTGATACTACAAGCACAACTAGATACATAGTAGAGACCTTAAAGCCTCGTTTACACTTGTCATTTCTAGTGCGATTTTCCTCTTCTGATGGATGTGAAGGAGTAGAGGAGTTATGAATGTTCTGAGTATACATACCCTCATCTGAACATTCATAATTGATTCACTCGTTCACATCCATCAAAAGAAGAAAATCGCATCAAAAATTGAAAATGTAAACGCATGATAGGGAGTAACACTTGTAAAAGGCACACTCTGATTTTTTTTGGGGGGGGAGGGGGTGGCGTTCTCAAAGTGGTTAACCTTTCAATCAGTGCTGGATTCAAGTGTCCTCAACAATTTCAAATTTCTAGATGGAGTTTATGCGAATACATGCTATGTCTACAATTTGAGAATACTGCTGCTTGTTTTGTTTCAACACTTTGAGAAGAATGCCATACAAGGCTAAGCTGACATAAGCTAACTTACTGAATTTTGAATTCTTACTCCAACTTTCTACCAATATCTTAGCTAGCTGTCCACCAAGCTGACTCACTTTCTCACATTTCTCGGTGTTCTACAATCAAGGCAAACTACTAAACTCAGCTCTACTGTTTTCCTACTGGACTCACTATATCAAACAATATCTTGAACAATTACATGCAATCACGTAGCAGACAATACATATACCCTAGTGTATAACTGTTTTCCTGCTGGGCTCACTATATAAACAATATCTTCAACAAAACACATGCAATTACGTAGCACAATACATATGCCCTAGTGTATAACATTCCTCGACAACTGATAATCTCAACGTACCTTTCCCCCATGATCCTTCACGTCATCAAAACATTCCATGGCGGTCATGTGATCTATCCCAGGGTCCAGTCCTACTTCATTCAGGATTGTAATCCCTGCATCCACAGCACTGAAATAGCAATAGCAGTTTGCATTTACTTTCCCGTTCGGGGGGGAGCGTGGAAAATCAGGGGGAGGGGTGATTAAAAGACCTTGGAAATCCAGGATGATTAAAAGTTGATTAATCCGCGTGATTAAAAGTTGAAGGATTTTGTAGATGGAAATTTTGAGTGTAAATTTTATAGATTTATTAAAACCTAACCAGTGGCAGTTGCGAAAAATGCAACTATAAGCTCTCTGGTAGGAATCGAACCTGCGGCCCTGCGATTCCGGTGCAGCTCTCTGACCAAACTGAGCTTGTCAGAGAGACAGTCGTCGAGCTCTAACCAACTAAGCTACAGAGAGACAGTTGTCAAGTTCTAACCAACTGAGCTACAGAGAGACAGTCGTCGAGCTCTAACCAACTGAGCTACAGAGAGACAGTTGTCGAGCTCTAACCAACTGAACTACAGAGAGACAGTTGTTGAGCTCTAACCAACTGAGCTACAGAGAGACAGTTGTCGAGCTCTAACCAACTGAGCTACAGAGAGACAGTTG